ATCCTGGTCATACTTCTAATTTGGCACATATTTCTGAATGTTTACTTCAAAATGTACATTAAGGTTGAAGTTGGTGACCAAAACTTTATGTTAAAAAACATTTAATCATAAATTTCATTTCGGCGAAACCCGACCTTTTCATGTATTTTTTAAAGATCACATAGTAGTGAAAAAGTTTGAAGTTTGAAATTGATGTATATCATGGTAAACTCCACTATTTTGTACATACGAAAATACCTGTACCAATTCAGGAATATGACAGTTGTTTTCCATTCGTTTGATGTGTTTCAGCTTTTGATTTTGCCATTTGATAAGGGAATTTCCGTTTTGAATTTCCCTTGGAGTTCGGTATTTTTGTTATTTTACTTTCTACCTAAAATCACAATTTTCACCTTATATGGGAAGACATTCTTACAGAAAATATATTACGCTAAAAGATATATTATGTTCAAGAAGGGTATTATTAAACATTTTCCTAATGTACACTTAGAAAATAAAAATAAAATACAATAGGTATCATTTCAGAATAATGATCGTGATTTAAAAACCTTCTTGCTTAAGGATGCTTTGTTATGCCGGTATTAATGACAATTCCATGAACGGACGTTTAGTAAAGTTTCTTTTTTAAATCTCCGGCTTGGGCTTTTTATATATGTAACCAATAAAACCATTTCTAATTGATACAGAAAAATCAATATTTAAAACAAATAATCGTGTATCGTTTCTTGTGTTGACTGGTGTCTAAATAAATAGCTTGAATTTATCCATTTACCTGATAATAAAGTGTTTTTTACATTCTACAGAGTTTGTTTACTTATTTTTTTGTAAAAAAATGTGATATCAGGCTTAAATAATACTGAATAACAACTACACAATTTCTAACAGATATCTATCTTTATTTTTATTGGTCAGGTTATTTTGCTCTTAGAATATTTTGTTGGCATATTTTTTATGTGTTTTAAATTTAATAATCAGGCTGAACTTTGTGTACGGATATGAGCGTACCAATTGCAAATAAAATATGGTTTAACCCCGTCGCATATGAATGTGTTAGTTAAGAATCTTGAATGTGTCTGTCTTGAAATTTGTTTAATATTTGTTTTGTCTTTTAGTAAACGGGTGTTCAAAACAAATCTTCCTATATACACTTATATACAGTAGTTTACCAATCTTCAAATCGCATACATCGATTTAGAAATTACAAATCAAGGTTACATACAGCCACTGAGGGCATCTCATGAACCCTCAAAGAAGCGAAACCGAGTGCGTTGACAGGTTTAGTGTCTCTTGCTATGCTATACATGCACCAACCGCCATGTAAATCATCATTCAATCAAAATATCAAGGGCACAATTGGTAAAATTACAGATCAGACAAATGTACTGGTATTTGCAGACCGCGAAAACATATCGTTAGTGATTTGAGACAAGACATGTCGTAACATTATAAACTATCTATAATTCGTGTTTTAACATATTGATTCAAATTATTTATATTCAAAACATATATATAAAAGTTCAAGCCAATTAGTATTTCCATTTCTTCCCTTTAATCCTGACGCGATAAATTGAGATAAATTACCTATATTGCATGCAGTGTAATTAAACGGCCAAAGTGAAAAGATAACTGAAATAAACTCATCAGTATCTCTACATTCTCTATAAATCAATATGACATAATGAGGAAATCAATCTAAAACAAAATAACACAAATTTAGAACTACAGTATTAAAATTTTGTATTTATACAGGATTCTTTGTTTGGTACAGTTTCTTGTTTCTTACAAATATATGAATATTCTACCAACAATGATAAAATAAAGATATTGAAAAATATACAATACAATATATGAAGAAATATAATACACAAATAAGTTAAAATGTAGTGACAACTATTTGCATGACAAAATCAGAAAGTCTAATCAAAACTAACATTCATAGACACAGATGTCAATTAAAGTCTGATGCAGGAAAAAAAATATCGACCACAGGAAAATCAACATCAGAAAAATTATTCTTTCCATATTGTTATTCATTGTAATTGTTTCGGTAGAAATTCATAATAGGCTCAAAACCAAACTACATGTCGACCCTCATTCAGAACAAGAACACCCTTCTTTTTGTTTATTATCAACTCCGATTTGAAATTATGTTCCATGATGGCCATCGTATATAATTTGCTGACATATAGCCATTGCATTTATCTCCCTCATCCAAAACATTGATTCATTGTCCGGATTTGGCTATATTTCAGATCCTGTTTGGTTTAATCAGCATTTCATTTTTTCGGGATTATGATTTGGATTTAAATGTTTTGCATCACTGAAAAGACATTAATTGTCGAAATGCTCATCTGGTGCAGTAAAATTGGTACGGTTGATATATATCTATCAAAGTAGTATATACACTAATCGAGGATACCAGGCTTGAAATTAAGTACACCAGACGTGCGTTTCGTATACAAAAGACTCATCCGTGATGCTCGAATAAAATAGTTAAAAAGACCAAATAAAGTACGAAGATGAAGAGCATTGAGGAAAATCTAAAACATATTTAACTGTCCTAAAATGTTCATGTTATTTCTTAAATCACAAACAATGATTATATGTTATCAAATCATATCAGAACTTATTAAACCATAGGTCATCTTTTTATATAGTGTAAGCAACCACAAGTAAGAACTTGTATCATGTAACTTCAAAAACACCAGTATACAGAAAGTTAAACAATTAGATAAGTTGTTATTTAAGGATGTATTTGACCTGAGCATATGATGACATATACATGTGTTTATTTGACTTTTTGCAAATGCAAATACTTAGGTTATAAACAAACAGCATATGAACATCAATATATATTTCCCTCCACATATCAATACAATTTGTGCTAAATTGAAATGTCTAAGACTGGTCAAAATCCTCAACTTTGTGAGATAAACAGTGACAGTTATTTAAATTAAAATCGCAATGTTCTCTCTTGTAGTGAACTGTAAACAGTATTCACTGCTCAATGACTTGTAGTGGACTGTTAACAGTATTCACTGCTCAATGACTTGTAGTGAACTGTTAACAGTATTCACTGCTCAATGACTTGTGAAATCAGTGTTTTTGTTTACAAATGCATGATAAAAATTACAAAAAAAATAATATTGAGCAAGTTTACTTTGGTCACTAAATTATCAAATATCCTTCGTGGTAAATTAGTGAGTGTCGCGGCCGAACAAACCATTTATACTAGCTTTTTTTCCTTCAATAAGTTGCAATGCCTTTATTAGTTCCATTTAAGACAATAGCATCACTGCAGTAACAAATTTGATCTCCCTTACTAGTATCACTAAGAACGCGTTTCTGATGTGAAATTAGACAGCGCATACTGAATGAATCTTAATGACGAAAACGACAGCAGATCATGATTACTTTTCACAAAGTTATCGAATTACAATATTCTTTCTGCGTATGATACAATACTAAAATAACATATATTTCATATTGATTAATATTAATGGTATATACATATATTTATTTTAATAAAACCATGTTTGATATGAGGCACCACTCATAGTATTGGATATCACATCACTGCAGGCGGATTAGTCTTCGTCAAATAAATATCCATTCAATGCTTTACGTCAGAAAGGAACCCCATACAAGATTATCTTGGTTGGATGCTATAGATCATTATTTTGTACAGTATCTAGTAAATTATTGAAAATTGTTTTGGAACATTATGTTATTGTGGATGCAAACGAAGTAATTTCTGGTAAAAAAACCTGATATCGATTATTTAAGGCAAGTATGTCCTCCATGACCTTATCGGTACTCTAAATAAACTCATAGATACCAGGATTACAATTATGTACGCCAGACGCGCGTTTCCTCTTCAACAGACTCATCAGTTCGCTCGGATCAAAAAAGTTTAACAGGTCAAATAAAGGACGAATATTGAAATGTTCCTTTTTGGCAAATTTCTATACAAGTATATAAATTTCTATGTTGTATTACTAATTGATATTTTTCAACTAGTCGTGTTGATTTGAATATATACACTATAATTTGTCATAAAATCACTGCATCAAAATATTCAAACGATTATAAATATTCTCTTTAGATTTATATGACGCATAATGGATTCATCTCATTCTTAGGACAAAAGTCACTGTTCAAGCAAAAAAAGAAATGCTAACCATTCCGGAGCTCAAGAGCTCAAAATGACACATCCGGCTTTTTGTATTATTCGTGTTGCCCAATGACCAATTTTCCGTAGTGTTATGATGACATTACTTTTTTAATTGCCCCTTGGTATGTTTTCCCCCTTTTTCTTATTTGTTTTACCTGCTGATAAATGTAATATCAAGTTAATAAATATTTGTAAAACTATGGTTACAGGACAATTTGTGAATTTCCAAATAACGAACCAGATTTATTGAAAATATCCTGCTTTATTTAGAGTTCCATTCTTTTTTTTTTAATATGTGTACAGGTATAGAACCACTAATTCAGGCCCGGTCGGAAAGAACATACAAGAAAGTAGTACATATTTTAAACAAAATAGTTCCTACGCATAGCTGTATCTTTGTCAATAGGTGGAATATTTGGGTAGTTTTGGTATCAAATGAAAGCTTGGGTACTTGGGATCACTGTAGAATCCTTGTTGAAAATTTCTTTTGAATAATAAAGAAGTATATACAATTTTAATAGGAGGCACATTTGCCCTGTTGTTCAGATCAGAAGTACCTGTTTTTGTACTATCAAACTTCCGGGAACAAGTACGCTCTAATATGCAATTAAAGGTATGTTGAATTTTTCAGCACAAGTCAGGATAAGGTATAGTTTTGAGATGAAATAACTGCTACTTTATTTGAACTTAAGACAAAGTAGCCATTTATGCTTGAAATTGCAGAATTTAACATAGAAAGCAATGGGGCTATGAATTAGTGGTTTTATACCTACTGAGAAATGGAATGTAAAAGCAAAGCTGCTAAAAAAGTTAATTTTAACAGAAAAAATTAATGTCAAATATAGAAACCGTTTATCCATTTAACATCATTCACCTTAACCAGTACTTTTGATAACAGACAATCGATTTGTTTTTTTTTCTGAAATAAATCAGTGGTTCGCATGCAGATAACAATTCACTAACTTAATACAAAGAATACAAATTAAATTTTCCAACCCGTCCTGTATTTGACTATTATCACACACTATCAACACGTTGACCTTCCACGCGGTGTTCAAATTCGAAACTTTCTCTTGGATCCTGTTTTCCACGTCTTGGTGGCTGTAAAAAATGTATATATATTTACATTGATACTTTAATACAGTTTCACTTATTAATTATCAATTACAGTTAGGTTGTTTGTTGACACAAATTGTTCACTTTCTTATAGGATAATAAGACTACAGATAATGTTTCATCGTTTCTTTATGTAATCCATCTTAAGTGGTTCTCAAAATCCATTATTATCAAGCAGACATAGATACAATAAAAAATGAATTATGGCGTGTCATTTATTAGTCATAGTGTTAGTAAATAAATTTTATGATATATACTCTCTCGCTTTACTTCCTTTTATCTATTAATGAGAAAAAATGAAATAAAAATATATTTTTTATGGAACAATCTTTTAAAATTAACATTCTGAATTAGTTTGTAGCATATCTGTATTTTCTGTATAATTTAAACATTCATGCATTCTCACATTTGTGAACGATGGCTACTTGCTTTTCTTTTGAAAAATAAAAATCCGATCAAAAGTATAAAATATATGAAGACCAAAGTTACAGTAATGCAAAAGGATTCTGTTCCATTTTTACGAAAACTGTTGAGAAATTCCTCTCACAGATCTCACATGAATTAGAATAGAACGGGATTACATTACCTGTATAATGAAAATTACAATATTAGAACTATGTGCTTCGATACTGACATGATTTATAACATACTTTTTTGAAGTCTCCGTTGATAAATTTAGAAATTAAAAAAAAAAATTAATGGTTATACTCCCTCAGCCAAAGTTGACCTCAAATAGATTTTCTAATTGTTTTTTTCTGTTATTTTTGGTAAAAAGGAAAATGATAACAAAAATACCGAACTCCAAGGAAATTTCAAAACGGAAAGCCCCTTATCAAATTGCAAACTCAAAAGCTCAAACACATCAAACGAATGGAAAACAACTGTTATATTCCTGATGTAGCTAATATACCTCCTCATGTATTCAGGTACTAGTGCATCCTTGGCTTTCATTTTTTTAGACTTTGATGAAAGTAAATCAAGAATAGCGCTTCGGACACACAAAATGTATAAAGTGATTCTTTTCATTAAATAAATAATTAAGTTCTTATAGCCAAGAGTGTCCAACATACGAAAAACCTGAAACCGTTTAACTTAGACCATCTGTGAAGAAATCCGTATCATTTAATTTTCATCAGAGTTGGGGTAACATTCAGCCTTATTCTAGTCGAAAAGAACAAGTTAAATGTCTTAATATATAAGAGACATATTTACGCAATGTTTCTTGTCATATTTCCCAATAGGGGAACAAATGTAGAGACAATACAGCATGAAAAGGGCCCTGAAGACATATAACAGTCCAAAAACAGCACAAAGAATTTGAAAAATTGAGTAATACGTGCATCATTAGAAAAACGATGGGTCAGGCACTCCTGAAAGATCAGCAGTAGTTCAAACTAGAGGAATTGATTTTGTAAAACAACGACAAGATGCTACGTTATAGAATTAAGTAATACACACCTTTCTTATTGTCCTTTTTAAAAGTTTAAGTATCTTTGTTCATTATGTAGTTCCGATGGGATGCAAAAGTGTTTACCAATTATGAAGAATTTACTTTTTAATAAGACGAGTGACTGTATGTCAATTAGATTGCAAACAGTCATTATTCATTGATTGTAATTATGTAATAGAAAACTTAAACAGTATATAAATTTCTAAAGTTAAAGTTGCATACCTTTTGTTTCCCTTTTGTACTAAAACGGAAATAGCCTTTTAATCGATCTTTGGTAGAATCTGACATGTGACATGATGCAAACAATACGGGATTTGTACATGTTGACAGAAATCCAAACCACGTAAAGGTTATATATGTTATATCAAAATGACCGGTGTTGTCCCCATTCTCGTGAACGAAATACTGCACGAGGATAAGAATATTGAGAGGACACCAGCACATGGCAAATAACGTTACCATGGTTATTATATAGTTCTGAGTTCTCTTTTCTTTGTCAACATCTATATCATCATCGGTGTCTTGATTATTGTTTCCTTGATATGTGTGTTTAGGTTTATATTCATTACTTGCTGTTGATGAATCATTCTTCACATTACCATTTTGTTCCGGCCAAGTTACTTGAGATGAATTTGTATTAGAGGAATAATGGACGCTGTACATTGGACGAGTTTCTAACATTTTTAGTTCTGCAGAAACCTTGACGCAAAGAAACCCAATAACAGCTAAAGGCATAGCATACAATGTAACAAACATGGCTCGGATGTACTCTTCAATATGTCGCTCTTGGTTAACGTAACAGATTCCAACTCCTTCAAAACGATATCCTAAAATAGCACCAAGATCTATAAATTTTATATAAACCGCATAAGGCAAAACGACGCATACAGCTGCAACCCAGACCCCTATGATACATAGTCCAGCAGGTGCTCTCGTCTTAAATGGTGTAACAATAAAGCGATATCTGTCAATGGCAATCATAAGATATGTCAACATGGAAGCGTGTATTGGAAAGCATTGAATCATAGGCAGAAAGAAACAAAGGAAACTTCCAAAAATCCAATTGTGAATGAGCAGATTTGCAAGTGTTATTGGTAGTACAACAACACATTTAATAATGTCAGCAAATGCTATGTTGCCCAAAAAGAAATGTGTTTGGTCGCGGTATAGACGGTGTTTTCCAATGATAAACAAAATTCCAACATTTCCAACAAATCCAGCAATGCCAATTAACGCATGAAGGAACATAAACATGGGATATACATACCGAAGTGACGGTCGAACATGAGGTCTAGTGAAATCTACATTATCTGTTTCATTGTTGTCTTGAAAAAACTTAAAGATAAGTTCTATGTAGGTTTCTTCAGCATCCACTAGAGCCATTTCTAGTTTTTAGTTTTACAAGAAATATTGCATTTCAAAACATCCTCAAGTGTGAATCTGTAATAAACAAAATTATTTCAGCTTTGTATTTAACCGATAATAAAGTACAAAATTTAAAACAAAATTGTTTGCACTAAAGAATATCATATTCTGCGTTGCATGATACGTTAGGTAAAAAAACTTCAATTTTGAATTTGAACCGGACCAAGAAAAAATTCAGCGAACCTGTATTTTTTTTTATTATTTTTTTTTAGTCATAAATAATAAAATAGATCAATTAATTGGTGGGAAATGTGTGAAAAGTGCGAAATACACCATAATACTGAACAATTGTGGTTTCCATGGTTTTTTTCACGTTTTTCACTCAAACTTAGATGATTTAAACAACAAAACAAAAACAAAATAAGAAGCCGTCGACCCCTACTACTTTCATTTCACAGCAAAAACATGTCATTTCACAACAAATTTTTTAAGTCAGCATTTTGGACAATGGAATTTTAATGGCGAAAACGATTCATTTTCATATAACTCTTTAACGTGAACTCTCCACTTTTTCATTTTTGTCACACATTTTAATCGAATGTATGTCTGGAAAGTAGATATGCTACATATATATATTCTTTTCGATATTTGGACGGATGGAGTTCAACGAACTCTGAATGACTAATTCATCAACAAAAAAGAAATAATACCGCCCAATTACGTATGATGACAGAAAATAAAAGGAATACACCAAAAACGGGCACAACTCGGTCAATATTGAATCATTCTAAATTTCAAAAAGTGCAACAACACAAATATCTTATTTGTTATCAAATATAAGAAGTTATTGTGTATGGAACGCCTCAGCTGTCTTATGTGGAACTCTGATATTACTTTATGTTGTTTTATTATTACTTGATGATATTTTGTCTTTACTTAATATGGTTTTGACATTACGTAATGATGTTTTGATATAACTCAATATGGAATAGTCATTACTTAATGATATTTCGATATTACACGATATGGTTTCGTATTGACTTGATATAGTTTTGTCATTACTCAATATGGTTTTGTCATTACTCGATGAGGTTTCACCATTATTTAATGTGGTTGTGTCATTAGTCAATGTGGTTTTAACATTACTTGATGTGAATGTGACTTAACGTTATGTAGTTGTTTCATTACATGATGTGGTTTTGTTATTTTGTAATGATGATTTGCCTATTCTTTATATGGTTTTAACATTACGTAATGATATTTCAAAATTTGACGATTTTACACTACATGATGTGTTTGTTTCATTATTTGATGTGGTCCTGTCATTCTTTGATGTGGTTATCCCATTACTTGATGAGGTAAAACCACGTGACCAATTCGGAAAAAAATATGTTCTATTTTTAAACAGATTTCAATATATCATTTGTTTAATGTGCTTTGGATGGGTATCGCTATCCATTGAGTTAAAGTTCAAATTAAAGCACGTTTGGTTGTTCATGGTTATTTAGCATGAAAAAGGTAACCGGCAGACAATAATAAGAAAAAAAGTATTAAAAAGTTTACAGTATTTCTTACATAATTGGGATATCCCCAAACCACTTTGTCTTGTTGTTTTTATCCTAAGTTCTCACACGGAAGCAGTATTTTTGTAATAAATTTGTAAAATATTCCACGGAACCCTATGTCTCGCCTGATATTGCTGCTGTAAGTGTAAAAGCGTCATGTTGATCGGCTGTACATTTATCTATACATTTATCGGTAAAAACAAAATAAAAAAAAATGTTTTTCTGTAGATGCTTTTTCTTAAAATTGAAGAATAACTCCTATACTCCTATACAAGTTTTAAAACACTTCATGGAGGTTTACAAATTTATCATGTCAAAACAGTTTAATTCGGTTTTATTTGACTAAAACAAACTGTATGGTTTTCAACAATAAGCAAAACCCATACCCTATAGTAAGCTATAAAAGGTCCCGAAATGAAAAATGTAAAAAACTAGAAACCTAACGATCTATAGATAGAAAGATAGATAGATAGATAGATGGATAGATACTTTATTCTCTAAAAACTAATTACAAGTTTACAGAGAAACATACAATATAAATACAGATACAATAGTTGAGGTAAACAAATACAGTATGATATTCTAAAAGTACAAAATTATAATGGCATACGTGTTTAGTAACATGTATAATGAAAGGTTAAACTCAATAGAAATAAAAAAAGAATTGAGATGGAGACGCCGACGCCACTATCGACGACGAAATATAGATTTGTTGGGTCTCACTGCCGCTACAGTGATGTCGCAGGCTCGACACAAATCAAACGACTTGAACTTTAATGTTAACAAATGAAGCGCTTCAAATCAACTCACACTAAAGTTACAGGGAAACGGGGGAAGGGGGCTCGGACTTAGCGACAAAGCATCAATACTATAAAATAAGAATTCTCCGATTTTTTTTTAGCGTAAATGATCATTTGAACTCATACAAATATCAATCTTTTATTTGTAATCAATTGAATTCCCTGATCTACCTCGCACTAATTGAAAAATAAACTTTTTGGAATATCTGTTTCACCTGTGACGACGGACATGTTCCAGTGGTCGTAACCATAATACCGTTCCCACTGTCCCTATCTACTATCTAGCGAAACCACAGCCAAGGGAACGGGCTTGGCAGAATCAGCGGGGAAAGAAGACCCTGTTGAGCTTGACTCTAGTCCGACTTTGTGAAGAGACATGACATCTTTTTCTTGAATTTGAACTACCAAATAAAACCAAATCACTGGGTTTGTACTTTCTCGAATAACACGGCGGGTGCCTTTCTGGAGCATCCGAGATCACCCCGATGGATTTATATTACCCAGTCATACCGATCTATTGAGTCAGCCAAATGAAACTGTTTTGTATGCCACCGCAACTGAAAGTTGGGGGGGATATTGTTTTACCCCTGTCCGTCCGTCCGTCCGTCTGTCCGTCCCATTATGGGTATATAGTTATTCCGCATAACTCCTCCTACCGTTTGAATCCTAGGAAGTTTTCTCTTTACTGTCTGTTTGTACATATATTGAAGGTGTGCATGTGGTCAGGGTTTAATTTTTATCAATATTTGCTCTTTTGGGAGATAATTGAACTTTGTAATTTTTTGGGAAATTTACTTGCATAAGAAGAGCGTTTCCAGATAACTCTTCCTACAGTTTGAATGCTAGGAAGTTTTTGCTCTGCTGGCTGTTTGTACATATATTGAAGGTGTGCATGTGGTCAGGGTTTTTATTTTTATTATCTTTTGCTCTTTTGGGAGATAATTGAACTTTTTTTTTGTCATGTTTGGGGTATAAGCGGTTAAATGAGTTGAGTGCGGGGCATCACTTTGTCTAGTTTACATTTTTTTCTCGTGTTGTGCTGTTACACAAGTGTAACAGTCCGATGCAAGGTTAGGATTTAGCGCTCACATACATGTTAAACTCCTCCACGTGCACTTTCTTTATGTACCTGCCCCAAGTCAGGAGCACGAAGTTCAATTGTTGTCGTTGTTTAAATGTGTGTCATTTTTTTTTGTAGATTGTTTAAATATAAATAAGACCGTTTGTTTTTTCGTTTGAATTTTTCACATGGTGCATGGTGGCCTTTTATAGCCGACTATATGGTGTGTTGAAGGCTGTATGGTTGCCTATATATGATTTCTTACATCCACTGCATTTAAACTCTGGTGGATAGTTGTCTCATTGTCAATCACACCACATCTAACTTTATTTCAACTTCTATGTTGCGTTTTGTAACATTGTTTATCTTTTGTACGCATACCCCGGAGCCCTCTTTTCGGAATCCCGAGCAAAAGTCCTTGTTCCGCGATAGAAAATTTAATTACGACGAACTCATATAAGATAGCACGAATTTCAACTCAAAATCTTAATTAATCTAAATGAGACTTAAATTCGAATCTCACTCAAACTCAAAAAGTGACTCAAATTTAATGGTGTAACTAGAACTCTACCTTTAAATGTGACTCAAACTTGAAGTCCAACTCGAAACTCAATGCTAACTAAAACTTTAATTCTAATAATGACTTGAATTCGGAATCGGAGACTAACTCAAAGTTCTACTCAAACAGTAACCCTAACTTTAATTTGAACTCTAATTCGATGGATGGCCGCACTCATCCTGTCAACGTATATTTGTTCCGCCTAACAGAAGTTCCACTGGAAACTTTGTTATAAACAATGATAATAATATCTGTTCCTGTTGGAACAAATATTCTATACCATTTATTCCGTTAGGAACATTTACTGTAATATTTATTCCAGTGGAAATAATATTCCAGAATATTGTTTCCATTTGGAACTTATATTATGAAGGAACTTCTATTCCGTGACAATCCAAGTCACATACAACATGGAAATCTATCTAAAAATAGAACAGGTTTTTTGCGAATTGGTCACGTGATTTTACCTCATCAAGTAATGGGATAACCACATCAAAGAATGACAGGACCACATCAAATAATGAAACAAACACATCATGTAGTATAAAATCGTTAAATTTTGAAACATCATTACGTAATGTTAAAACCATATAAAGAATAGGCAAATCATCATTACAAAATAACAAAACCACATGATCATGTAATGAAACAACTACATAACGTTAAGCCACATTCACATCAAGTAATGTTAAAACCACATTGACTAATGACACAACCACATTAAATAATGGTGAAACCACATCGAGTAATGGCAAAACCATATTGAGTAATGACAAAACTATATCAAGTCAATACGAAACCATATCGTGTAATATCGAAATATCATTAAGTAATGACTATATTCCATATTGAGTTATATCAAAACATCATTACGTAATGTCAAAACCATATTAAGTAAAGACAAAATATCATCAAGTAATAATAAAACAACATAAAGTAATATCAGAGTTCCACATAAGACAGCTGAGGCGTTCCATAATTGTGCATCAACCCTATTATCAGTGTGCTCAAATAACCACCTCATTATTTTGAACGATTCTCAAGACACTACCATTATTTAGAGGTAGTGAATATAAATAATAGAAAATAAT